TAGGCACAAATTAGTATTTCTTATAATACTTTGTCCAGAATTCAGATTATACCGAACTTTATCAAAATTAATTATGGATGTTTTTATTAGGATTTCCCGCCTCAATAGAGAAGCAGCCCCTGACATTCAGGAGCTGACCTGGCATTACCAGTCACGCCATCCTCTAGCTCCCAGCTGAACGAACACTCACAAGAGGTTTTGATGTCCTCTTTGCTTGTCTATTCAGTGCAATTCCAGTAAAAGTCCTGACAGTTCTGTGTAGAGACAGACTGTGAAATTCATATGGAAACACAAAGGACCTAGAATAGCCAACACTACTTGTTAAAGGAAGAGCAAAATTCCTGACTTCAAGACCTAATGATAAAACTACAATTAAATCAACATGGTAGGGGTGTCAAGATCAGCAACTAGAGCCATGTAACAAAATAGTGAGGAAAGAAAGCTATGCCTATATATATTTTTTTAAGATTTATTTATTTATGCATACAAGAACTGGGGTACAGGCCGGAGGTGAGGGGTGGGGTGAGAGGAGTCACCAGAGACAGAGTGGGGAACAGAACGGGCAGACTGACTGAAATACACTGCTAAGGGGAGCAGTGGGTGAGCAGGAGAGGTCTGCAGCTCCATGTGGGTCACCTCCCTGGCCTGGGATCAAACTTGTGCTGCAGTGACTGCAGATAGCTTCATAGTGCTGCGTCTTAACCTCTTGCACCACCAGGAAGGCCCCAGCTTTGCCTATATGAACAATTGATTTTCCACAATGACTCAGTGGAAAATGGGTAGTCTTTTCAACAAATTGTGTTAGAACAATCGAATATGCATGTGCCAAAAAAACCCCTTGATTTATACTTCACACCACATATTAGTAATCTATTCCTGCCTAATAAATTAACCCCCAAATTAGTAGCAGTCTTCCTTTGGTCTCTTTGCCTTTAGTCTCTCTTTCTAGAAGTGCATTTCCATCCTTCCTTTTGGGCGTTTCCTCCCCTGACAAAGTCAAATCGGTTATTTTCACATTTGTATATAAGGAAAAGGAGACTGCAATTTATTTAATCTTCTGTTTATCCAGTTACCTTTTTTTCCTGCCCTACTTTTCTTCTGTACAACCCCATTCACTAGTATCCTTCAGGTCTCTAATATGTGACTAGTAAGAGGAAATTCTTGGGTTTACAAATGTTCACTGTGCAACATTTATGGTAATGATGGCAGTTAACCAATTATTTGTATATCTTGGTGCAGTGCTGGGAAATATTTACATGCTGTTTCACATGATCTGCACAACAAGCTTTTGTGAGGGATACAATTCCATTGCACTAACTTCCTAGGCAGAGCTGCTTACCGGGGCACTGGGCTGACCAGGGTAGTATTCGTATTCGGTGGCAGACCTGTGCTCTTGCATCCCACCCATGTTCTGAAATCAGTCAGGCCTGGGTAGTTTCAGGCAATTTTTTAAAAGATTAATTTATTTAAGCATATAAGAACTGGGGTACAGGCCAGAGGTGTGGTGGATGAGAGGATTCACCAGAGACAGATGGGGAACAGAACAGGCAGACTGACTGAAATACACTGCTGAGGGGAGCAGCGGGAGAGACAGGAGAGGTCTGCTGCACCATGTGGGTATCACTCTGGCCGGCCGGGGATCAAACTTGTGCCGCAGAGGCCGCAGATTGCTTCATAGTACTGTGCTTAATCTGTCACACCACAAGGGAGGCCCCAGTTTCAGGCAATTTTCATCCCTTTTTGAGTTTCAATTTCCTTCTCTACAAAATGGTGGTATTACATCCTCTGTGGACAACTATTACAATGACTCAGTGCATGTAAACTGTGTCCAGCTTAGTAACCTAGTCTCTTTTACTCTCTCAACCAAGGCTCTTTCTAGAATACTTTTCATTTATAGACTTCTTCATATTTACTAAAAGGCTCCCCTCCTTTATGGGAAACTACCCCCCTAGGAACATATATACATCATTGGAGAGACAGAAAATGGATATGAAGACCAGTAATTGGATGTAAGAATTGAAAAGAGAGGGCCAAAGATAAGTACCCTAGGGATTCAGAGATAGCAAAGGTGAGGAGGTGACAGACTTACTAGGAACAATTTTGAAGAAGAGGAGGGTCTTGAGGTGCACGTAGTGGCTCCACAGTCCCTGTTATGCACTTGTTGAATCCAGCTATCCACTGAGACTGGATGTCCGGAAGAGCACCTTGGGCAGATATGGCCTGTGCCAGGACAGGAAGGAATTCTGCCCTTTCTGTCACACCCTCCACCACAACCCCTGCTCTGGGGACCACCCTGGAGTTAGTTTCTGGATAAGGCAGATGGCACCCACTGGGAAGAAAGTGGGTGTCTAAGGGAAATACTTGGACCAGCTCAGCCTTGGTCAGTGTGTCCTCTAGTGGGGAACTATGTTGCTCAACTTCAAGAACTTCCCAAAGTTCCTTGGCTAGCTCTGAAATCTGAACTCGAGGCAAGTCCCACCTAGATTCAAACCCCATGTCAGGCACAAGGGCTGAGTTTTTTCTGTCACCATGGTTGGCTCTCGCTTCTCGCTCACTGGGCACCTGCTCAGTCTGACACCAGGATGCTAGGGGACACCTGCTCCTTCTGAGCCCCATTCCGGTTTCCTATTTGCTGCCCAGGCATTCTTTGGGCCCTGGGAATGCCTATAGTCCTGCAGCTCACACCTGCACAGCCCCTGAGCTCAGGTATCCAAAGGCAATATCCTGAAAAAACTTTTTTCAATGCCTGGTTAGAGGACTGGTCTGCCTAGGCAACTTTACATACTTCATTTCTCCTTCCGAGTGTTGGCAGGGAGATGAGGAAAACACATTTTCATCCTGTTGGTGAGCATTTCAATGGATTCAGATTTCCACAGAACAAAATGGACATAGGTACCAAGGATTGAAACATGCATGCTTTTGTACAGCAATTCCTCCTTTAGGAATTGCTGAAGTTCCCAGGAATTTATCCTGAAAAAATAATTAGGCAAATGTACAAAGAGGCGTGTACAAGATAGTTCAACAGAGTATTCCTCAAAAAAGAATAAAGACAGTCTTCAAAATTCCAGTATGATGTGATTGGTGAGTAAGGTAATACATCAATAAAATGGAATCCAATTAACTATAAGAAACAATGGTATAAAAATGTGTGTGTGTGTGTGTGTATAAAGAACAATCATACTAAATGAAGACTGGCTACAACAGCACATAATAATAGGTAGCATTTATTAAGTGCTTGCTTTGTGCCAAGCACTATTCTAAGAACATCATGGGTATTAATTCATTCGATCTTCACACCAATTGTTTGAGTTAGGAAAGAGCTATCACTGTTCATTTTGCAGGGATTCAAAGAGGTTCTGTGACCTGCCCAAGGTGCATACTGATGACTAAGCTCAGACAGATTCTAGAGCCACATTCTCTAAAACCATATAGGGTTATATTTGTTTTAAAAACAATACAAAATAAATGGGGTGTGTGTGTGTGTCTTAAACTCTAGAAGGACTGGTATGAAAATGTTGAGGCGTTACTATCGGATGTTGTTTTTTTTTATTAAAAAAACTTTACATACACTGCTGTTTTTAATTTGTGAGATGAATCTAATATGTAATATTAGAACTCATTCCCCCAATTCTATACTTATGAGGAGGCTGAAAAGTGTAACTTTTTCCAGTGGTGGGTTGGAGGTCACTAGAGTTAATTTTGACCAAGGATCAAAAAGGCTTATCTGTTTTGTTTTGTTCTTTTTATAGTTTCAGTCTACACCACCTTAGGAAATCACTTTAATAGTCTTTCTGAATAGTTCTCCACATGTTGAATATATATTTAAAATTACAAATGGCCAAAAATAAATAAGAATACAAAGGTCCCAGACAGTTCAAAATATAAAGGAACTTTAATAAAATAAGCTCTAGAATTGCTTAAATTTAAAATTATTATTTGTTTCCCTTTTCTTTTCTTGTTTTAAGAAAAAGAGAAAGGAGGGAATTCAGAAGTGTTTTTGCTTGGTCTCCTTAAAACCGCCATTCTTTGTGCCACAGCTTTTCCCCCCAGCAAAGTTTCTCAAAAGAACACCCCAGAGGTCAACAGAGCCTTAAAACAAGCCTACAGCATGATAGCAGCCACCGCACACTGCCACCCCCCCACCATGTCCAGCACAAGCCAGGCCCACTGTATCACATACCTCATGTGGCACTCTCAACAGCCTTTCCAGCAGGTATGATTACTACAAGGTTTTAGAAGATAAAGTTGATATTCAAATAATTTTGACAACTTGCCCCAGGTTCCACAACCATTTAAATATGAATTTTCAAAATAAGCATTTTCCTTTTTTACACTATCTTTCTTGGACTTTTTTTTTTTTTTTTCTTTTCGAATTGGGCGTGTAAGGAGTAGAGGGTTTGGGCACAAGGGAGGGTGATTTTTTTTTTAAAGATTTATTTATTTACGCACACAAGAACTGGGGTATAGGCCAGAGATGCGATGGGTGAGAGGATACACCAGAGGCCGAGTAGGGAGCAGAACAGGCAGATAGACCAAAATATACTGCTGAGAGGAGCAGCGGGGGAGGCAGGAGAGGTCTGCTGCGCCATGTTGGTTGCTCCCTGGTATGCAGGGAATCAAACTCATGCTGCAGTGGGTGGCGATAGCTCGATAGCGCTGTCTTTAACCCCTGTGCCACCAGAGAGGCCCAGGACAGTGATTTTTTTAAGTAAAAGCTATTTTTGTACTTTATAACCATGAATATGCCTCATTCTTTCCAGAAGGGGGGTTAACTAGATAAATTTCAGAGTTAAAAATTCTCTCTCTCTCCACCTCCACCCCTACCTCCTTCACACACATATACATCTTATCTTACAGTTTATAAATATTTCTCTGGACTGTACCAATTGAAAGATTACTGTGCCCTGACTTGGACACTCACTCCAGGGCCCAATTCTGCTCTCTTTACTCCTTCTACATGGTTCCACATAGTCATGGATGAAACAGAGACATCAGTAGAACAAAATATATGGCATTTATTAAACATGTGACATAGGTTATAATATCAAAGTAGAGCATGCATGAACACATTACCCATTCATTTAGCAAAAACACCCATCAATATTGAAAACATTAAATGATTAAATTTCCACAACATACAAAATTCTCTTTCAGTTAAAGTGAGAAAGAAAAATATCACAGGTGGAATAAAATACAGTGATTTCAGCTGGCCCAATAAAGGCATAAGGCACAAATTAAACCCAGGGATTAACACGTCAGAATGAAGGGTGCCTGGCTCCCCAAACCCTGCATGAATCTGCGGCACCATGAGGAGACACACCTGCATGAGGGGATCCTCCCCCCAGGCTCAAGTTTCCCCAGGTGCCCAAGCTCCAGTGGACAGATATCTCTGTCCCACGGAAACATAGCCTCTAATACTTTTATGGGTAAACAAAATCTTCATGCTGTAACAAATGATCCCGGTGTGAATAACATGAAATTTTAAATGAATGCCCCTTTTCCTTCCATTCAAAGTCTAGTAAAACAGAAGATAAAATGTGAAGGAGTTCTTCTGATAGGATGGCAGCATCTACATGGAAAGGTAAAGATGGCCCAGTACAGCAGAGCACGCTGGTTGGGGGTTTGAAATATAACCTTGTAGACTTCTCCATCTGACCCTCCCCCTCTGCCTCCACTTGCCTTCATGTTTTAGAAATGGATTCAGACCTCAGCAATTTCCATTCTGGCTGAAACTGTGCAGATGATGAAGCAACAGTCTTTGCTTTTCCTTTCCAGATGTTAACCTACCAGATTCCAGGGCTTTCATCTCTCTGTGCAAAGAGCACATCTCTGAGTGCCTAAGTCACAGTCTTCTTCATGGTTAATTCCAGAACTCTTGTGTATGGAGTGTAGTTTCTGGAAGGCACAGCGACTTCACGAGCCCTATCTGTTTGACTGAAAAATGAGAAAAGGCAGGTCAGGAAGGGGAAGAAAAGCTCTTTATCCTGTTTGTGTGGTAAAATAATGCTAAGAAATGGTTTTTACACATTTAAAAATAGACTATAATCACACAGTTTAATATTTTATTTAATTGTTACAAAAGAGACCATTATTTTCAATATTTTTTTAAAGATTTATTTTATTTATTTATACAAGCACTGGGTACAGTCAGAAGCGCGGGAGGGCGAGAGAATTCACCAGAGCCAGAGCGGGGAGCAGAGCAGGCAGAAGGACCAAAGTACACTGCTGAGGGGAGCAGCGGGTGGCAGGAGAGGTCGGGGAGCCATGTGGGACCCTCCTCCAGCAGCTGGGGAGCAGCCGGGGATTGAACCGGCCCTGCAGAGGCCGCAGGCAGCTTCACAACCCAGCGCTCAATGCTGCGCCACTGGGGAGGCCCTATTTTCAGTATTTTTTAAAGGCTGGGTCAGTGCCAGCCAGCAATGATTCAGAAAAGAGAAGATATGCATTCAAGAAATTCAAATTTGGGGCCTTCCTGGTGGCACAAGGGGTTAAGACACAGCACTATGAAGCTATCCACAGACATGCAGCCTGAGGTTGATCCCCAGCCAGGGAGCTACCCACTTGGCACAGCAGACCTCTCCTGTCTCTCCCGCTGCTCCCCTCAGCAGTGTATTTCAGTCAGTCCATCTGTTCTGCTCTCCACCCTGTCTCTGGTGAATCCTCTCACGGCCTCCCCCCACCCCCATACACACACCTCTGGTCTGTACCCTAGTTCTTGTATGCATACATAAATAAATATTTTTTTAAAAAAAAGAAACTCAAATTTGGTGAGAAAGATATGCACATAAGTGAACTGCAGATGATTTGGTGACTACTAGGACAGAGACATGAAGAACTGTGCGGGATAGTCTCCACTTGCCCCTGCAGATGTACTCCCTCCCTTCTCCACTTCACTCTGTGCCCTGGGCAGTTGAACCAACAGTCAGCACCAGTGGGGGTCCCTCACCCTTTGGCTTCCAATTGGTTCTGATCATTTGGGAGATGGTGGCAATGAATAAGAAAATAAAAGACAGAAGGGTCAGGACATTTCCCTCCTAGCACGCCTGCAGGCTACATTCCCCAGCCAAGGCCATAGTTACAGCTCTCCCTCTGCTGCTCCAGGCTGGTAATGCTTCCACTGTTGCTAGCTCCAGAATGCACCATAGTCGCATGTTTACTCCCTTTAAAACTGCCAAACCCTTGTAAATAGTCCCTTCATTTAAGTCTCTTCCATTTTCTCTTCTTGTGAGGACCCTGACAATATAAGAATGAACATACTATGAGCAAGCAGAAGGCAGAACAAGTTAGCATAGCAGAAGGGCATCTGGAAATTTCCAATGGGAAGGTGGCTCTTGAAGAACCCAAGGCATTCTTCAGGCGGGCAAGGAGGTTATGGGAATGCTAGGCAAAAGGGCAAAGAAGGGTGAATGCAAAGGCTATGGGTATTGAAAAGAGACACAATCTCTACAGTTGGACTAAAGAGTTCATAATGGAAAGCTGCAGAAGACCTGCCAGGAAAAGGGTCCTGTATGCACTGCTATGAAGTTCAAAGAAGAACACGGAGCTCCTAAAGGTTCTTAAGGGCAAGCATGATTTGCCCATATTTTTATTCTAGCAAGATTCTTGTGGCACTGTTAAGGGTTGACAGCAGAAGCATCAGTCTAGAAATAGAAGGTTGGGAGATTTTTGGTATTTAGTTGGTGAGTGAGAGCATGGGAACTTGAGTTCTTACAGTAGCAAAGGAGGTGAAGTTTCAGGAAAGGCGAGAGAGCTATTTGGAAGGCAGATTTAGCAGGATTTGGTGACTAAAGTGGAGGGATATTCCACATCCTTATCTGGATACATAATTCAACTAACTACTTTTCCCAATTCCCCTGCAATTAGGTGGGGCATGTAACTAATTGAGCAGAAATGATATATATTATTTCCAGAGTTAGAGTAGAAAAACCTTCAAGACAGTCCTCTGTGGTCTCTCTCTTTCCTTTCACACAGAGGATACAGTGAAGCAGTCAAGTCCCAAATGACTCTGAAGAATGAAGCCCAATCTGGCCTGAACTCTAGCAAGAGAAATCAATCTTAATTGCACTAAGCAACTGAGATCTATGGATTGTTAAGGCAGCTACCCTCCTCATCTTGACTAATGCAGTGACCATTTGCATATATAACATATGAGTCAACTCCATTCTGTCTAACTTCCCACCTTCTTAACGACTATTTTGTCCTCTGTCTCCTCTATTCCTTCCATCACTGGCCTAGTTCAGATTTTCATAATTTATCTTTGAATACTGCTTTCAGTGTTGGCAGTCTTCTCTCTCCCTGAATCCACTATCCATTCTGTTTTCAAAGATATTTCCCAAAAATTCTTAATATTTCTCAAAGTCTCCTCATTGCACCCTGGATGAAATCCAACCTTCCCTGCATGGTTTATAGGTCATCCACCATTTCCTGTTATATCTCCTGTCTGGCCTTGCTAAGCAACACACAGTTCTCTGGATTTCCCACACTACTTCCACGTCTTAGCCATTCTCTTGCTATTCTCCATGCCTTGAATGTTTCCCCAATCAAATCGAGCTGCTGGATTGCTGCCAATATTTCAAGACTCAAAAGAAACATCACCTGTATGACAAGGTCCCTGACGCCTCCCCCTCCCCCACCCCCACAGTGGTAGAAATGACCATTCCTTTCTTTATGTGCTCAGTTTCTTAGAGCAGTGCTGCTCAATTTTCTGCTGCCACAGGTTCAGTTTGCTAAACTTTCCCATGAGTGATAACTTCCATTATTCCACAAGGATTTTCAACTGAAGTGTCACATGCAGACAGTTTTTTAACAGGGATTTTAGAAGCTTGGGGGTAATTTTAAACTCCACACATCTTTCCCAAGAGACTCAACATGTCCCTTTCACCTTGTCACCATACCCACCTTGGAAATGACTGTCACACCACTGGAAGCAACTATCTCATTGTGCCCAATGTACTTGTACACATTCTTGCTAGTTCTAATTTCTTGAAGGATGCAACCACATCTTACTCATCTTCATGACCCCAGCAGTTCATAAAAAGCCAGGCACAGAGCTGTCACCCCACATATGAATGACAAAGGAAACCAAGGGACAAGGGATTTCGAGGGAGAGGGATTTCGATGAACAAGTGGTCAGTGTCACCTGTCACAGAAAAGAAGCCACAGAATCTGGCAGTGGAGTGGAGTAGAAGCCAGATGGCAATTTGTGCCAACTACTATGAAAATCCCACATAGCAGAAATGGTATCTGGTGATAATATGCTAAAAGGCCATAAAGTCAGAAATGTTTATAAAGGTAGGCCTTCTGAGTTTCAAAAAAAAAAAAGGATCTCATATCCCAATCTTTCAAAAAGAATTGAGGTATTTTATTTAGTTGATCACTAGGAAATAACAAGATTTCAAGAACATGAAGAATGTCAACCCAGAATTGAAGTTCAACCATTTTCTCTACCACGTTAAGGCTATTGTTAACCTTTTATTAATCCATAAAGGGGCTGTTCCCCTAGGGGGGAAAATAGCAGAATCAGCAAAGGCAGCTTTGACAAAAAGTTATTTTGTGCTCTGGTCTCCACAACAGAAATATGAAAATGTAGGCATTTTAAAGTGCTTACTATGTGCCAGGCACTTAGGACCACAGGGAATATTTTTCATTAAATCATACCTATTATGATATAATTTATGACTTTTCTGGAAACCAGGTTTCACTAAGAGCAAGAGAAAGAGCAGTCTGTTTTCTTTTGGCTTTTTGTTTTTCACAATTCTCTGTGAATGAAGGCTAGATGGCCTAAGATTGTGCTCAGTGGTTTTAATTAACTAATATCAAACCTTTCAAATAAAATTCCTTAGTCTTTTATTTTTAAAAAAGAGGAGCTTAAAAGACCTTGAAATCAGTGCCCAATGATGAGATCCTCGCTTTGCGGCAATTCATTTTGAGATGGAGATTAGATGGAAGAGGGGAAGAATTTGAGGAGAAAGTGGAGGCAGAGAAATGGTGCTATGCAGATTAGACACAGTTAAAACACCAGAATCAAGCAGCTGGTAGCATTGGGAAGGGGCGTATATACAGCAAGTCATGAAGCAAAGACAGCCCTGCATGAGTGAGTGAGTCTAGGAGCTTAACAGTTCATGATTCAGAGGTGACTACAGTATACTGAGCTTGGGAAGCTGGGGAAACAGTGGCAATTTTTTAAAAAAGATTTATTTATACATACAAGAACTGGGGTATAGGCCAGAGGCGCGGGAGGGTGAGAGGATTCACTAGAGACAGAGTGGGGAATAGAACAGGCAGACTGACCAAAATACACTGCTGAGGGTAGCAGTGGACGAGACAGGAGAGGTCTACCGCGCCATGTGGTATCTCCCCAGCCTGTCAGGATTGCACCCACGCTGCAGAGGCTGTGGACAGCTTCACAGCACTGCGCTCAATGGCCTGAGCCACCAGGGAGGCCCAACAGTGGCAATGTTATCAGAAATAGGAACATGTGGTTATTGCAACTGGACAATTTATGCCTGTATTTCATTCAATTATCAATCAGAATACCTGTTCTTAAAACTTTTTAGTTTCCTTCAAAGACTCAAAGCAAGCTTCTGAGGGATTTATATCAAATATTCCTGTTCTAGGCGAGGAAATTGGGACTCATTGAGGTTGAAAATGTGTCCAAAGCTATAGCTGTAACAGGAGGCAGATCCAGGACCAAAAGCCAGTTCTAATTCTGAGTCAGTGTTCTTTACCACTACTAACAGGAAATGACTTTGACAAAAAAAAAAAAAAGAAAGATGCTCTCAGTTATGGATAGAGTGGGTGTGAATGAAGATCAAGTGTACACCAGCAGGAAATGCACAGCAGCAACCTTAGAAGGAAGACTTGTATTCAAGAGAGAAGTTGGACTACTGATGGCTCAGTCACAGGGGCGGCTAGAGGAGAAGCTAGGAGACTGGATGCCATCTTTGCAGAAATTACTATGCCCAAGAAGAACCCTGAGGAGTTTCCACAATGGGGATCTTGGTGGAAAAAGAGGACTAATAAAAGAGATGGAGGGCAGGCCAGGGAATTAGAGAGAGAACCAGAAAAGTCCTCCAGGAAGCAGACATTCTGCTGCTTCAGAAGGACAGCAAATGCGACAGACATTGATTACCTGTATGCAAGACTATTCTAAGTAAGACTAGGAAAACTGCAGTTAATGAAATGGGTGAAAATACCTGCCCAGATAGAACTTATATATTCTAGTGAGGACAAAGATGATAAACAGAAAGAAGTAACACATAAGCAAGAAATGCTTTTTTCAAGCCCTTTTCTAAATAAATAAATCATATTATAATATAGATCAGCTGCCTAAATCCCCACTTGGTGAGTATCTTTCATTTCAGCCAACAAATATTTACTAAGCATTAAGTAAGTGTCAGACTGGGGGACAGGAGCCTCCTAGGCTTTCCTAGGAGGAAAGTGTTGGCAGGGACAGGGGAGATGTGGGGCAGATTGGGTGGTAAATAATAACAAGGGCTTAATGGTGCTATAAGTAAAAGAAAAGTTGGCTTCAAATTTTTTCAGCATACACAAAAATACACTGAATATTTTTCAGCATCATAATAATAATTAGAGCAGCTCTAATTATAAGGTAAATGAAGTTAGCAGTAGCAAAGCACATAATTGCAGGTACAAGGAGAAATGAGTCATCGGGGCTGTGCTACTTTGTGAGACTTCATGCCCAGTGCCTAGAACACTGGGACCATTCTGATGTACCATAAATCACAAGGCTTTTCAGCATTTCACACGGTATCTAGAGGGTCTCAAACCTGTGACAGTTTAATCAAAGAGCTCAATGCATAGAGTGCACCCATGACTAAGTTAGCAATCCATTTACTAAACCACTAATAATGACCAGTAACTATTCAGTTAATGAAATTGTCTCAGTACACCAAATTCACCTGTATTTGAGAGTGTCATACATGTGAAGTCAGAGTTTTCATTTAGTTAACAGTAATAATGGCTATCATGTATTGTTTAACTCTGGACTAGTTACCAAATTAAAGCTTTATTTAATCCTCTTAACAATGCTATGAGATATGTCATTGTCCTATTTCCATCTTACAGATGAAATAACTCAGAATTAAGAGAAATAAGTAACTTGCCCAAGCCTGTGTGCAGCCAGCAGCTTCTCCCCTTCCCATCCCACTGAAGAGGCCTCAGGACGCCAGCAAGGAGTGGGGCTGGGGCTTCCCCTGGACCACACTGCTCCCACATTGCGGGAGAAAAGGAAGTAAGAACAAAACCCCTCTGCATAAATGAGGCTTAATTCAATACTACTCTTGATCAAAACATTCTGGAGGAGCCTATTTATAAAATATACTGGAAAACACCATGCAATATTTTATTAGTTAGATTCAAGTTTGAAGTCCATGTAAGAACTACGTGTTTTGTTAAAGAACATACACAACACAATTTAGAAACTCTCTACTTACTGAGTTTTTTTTTTAAAGATTTATTTATTTATTTATTTATTTACTTACTTACTTACTTATTTATTTATTTATTTATACAAACACTGGGTACAGTCAGAAGCGTGGGAGGGCAAGAGAATTCACCAGGGTCAGAGAGGAGAGCAGAGCAGGCAGACTGATGAAGTACACTGCTGAGGGGAGCAGTGGGCGGCAGGAGATGTCTGCGCTCCATGAGGGACCCTCACCCAGTGGCCGGGGATCAAACTGGCGCTGCAGAGGCTACGGGCAGCTTCGCAACCCAGCGCTCAACCACTGCGCCACCAGGGAGGCCCTTGAGTATTTTTTTAAAAGATATATTTATTTATGCATACAAGAACTGGGGTATAGGCCAGAGATGTGTGTGTGGAGCAGGGGAGGTGAGAGGATTCACCAGAGACAGAATGGGGAACAGAACAGGCAGATTGATTGAAATACACTGCTGAAGGGGGCAGCGGGCAAGTCAGGAGAGGTCTGCTGCGCCATGTGGGTAGCTCCCTGGTCGGGGATCCAACTTGTGTTGCAGAGGCTGCAGATAGCTTCATAGGTTGTGTCTTAAGCCCTTGCACCACCAGGGAGGCCCTACTTATCGAGTATTTTAAAACTACAAATGTACCACACCAGGACTCAGAAGGCCTGGTTCTAATAAATGCTGACTGTGTGGCTTCCAGTGAATCACTTGACCTCTCTGGGCACCAATTTTGATATCTATCGGACATGAGGATTAAATGCGAGGGATTTGAATTTACTTTTGATCATAGAACTGCTTATTCAAATAAAAATTTTCCTGGAATTCAACATGTAAAACACACTAAAAGCTAAGCTTGTCAAGCTGTTTTTGGGGAAAGAGGGTTCCCAGAGTCCAGCTCCTTGTCAAGCTCCTGAGACATCACGAGGCCTCTCCAGGAGCCAGAGCTCAGAGCAAGCACAGGTGTAAAATCACTGCCCTGGACGATCTCTAAACATCCCATGTGCCTCACTATCTTGAGTGGCATGGCACCTTTCACATAGTAGGCTCTTAATAAATATTTGTGAGGAAAAGAATGAAATATTATTCTGCCTTTTCGGAAATGCGGATATGTAGTTTTCATTTCCTCTGCTGATTGACCTAGGTAGTTAAAGTGCTAAGATGGATCCTGGGGGAAACCAAATGCTACATTTATGGAAAAGCTGCTTTTAGATACTGAAGTGGCTTCCAAGTTCACCGAGGCCATAAGTTAAGGGTCTGTCAGCACTTCCATTATGAAAACCGCTTTGTGGTTTCATAACTTAGCCATAAAAATTTGCTTCAGGCTATCCTTCAGCATACAAATTGAAAAGCTTATTTCAAGCCAAAATGTGGGAATTAGAAAACAAACAATTTATTGGTTTCAGACATAGTTTTGTATCCGTCTTAGCCAAACAAGATTTATTATGTGGGCAATTAGAGTGGACTAAGTCACTTGGTTCTTGAAAAATGAAAAAGAAGAGAATGGCCAAACTATTTATATTTGAAAAGGAGTTGCTGGACATGAGCAATCATTCTTTTTGGCTATCTATTTATCATGTAGTTTGTACCCCACACTGATGACACCTACCATCTACTTATATAATCCTTCCCCTTTTTCCTTTCCTTTTAGACAATACTTTCTTTTAATTACATCAGTATGATAAAATTGCCTTGTTTTTGTCAGAAAACAAGCAATGCACTGTCAAAGAATGAGCTTAGTGCTGCCTTTGGTAAATACTTTGAGAAGGGTAAGTGGCTTATTTTATGAGTTCAAACAGAGACATCAGTAATGAATAAAAATAGGTAGGGAGATGAGGCCTTGTTCTAAAACAACAGAGGTGGTGAAAGCAGAGAAGTCACTTTGTCAAACCCCTGACTTCACCGATGGGAAACTGAAGCTCCAGCAAATGGAGTCCAGCCTGACCTGAAGGCAGCCTGCTGCCATCAAGGAAGGTGAGAACCGGGTGCTCTGCTGCCCGGCCTGGGGAGGTATAGCCGGTTTCCCACCTAATGTCACCATTTAACTAGGCTTCTACATTTTTCGGGCCTATTAATGTCTACCACTTCACATACAAATGTCCCTGATTACACAAGAATACACCCTCCTACACTCAGTACACAAGGCACCTTGTAACTCCAATTACCTAAATCACAAACCACATGCCATCAGTGTCTTTGTTACAAATTTTTTATGTCCTTTGGAGCACCCAGAGGTGGTAGGCTAGTTATCAAAGATAGGTTACTAGATGATAGGCTCTAATCTTACTGGGGAGAGGCCAGCCATGGGCATGTGGAGCAGCAGCTTAACAACAAATGGGTCAGTCCTCTAGCTCAGAAATGCAGCTACAGAAACCAGGCAATAGCTATTGTATATCAGCTCATGACTAAAGTGGATCACCGATTCATGAATCTGATCTAGTGCTGGAAAATACTTTGTTGTGGTATTAGGAAACAGATGGAACTTTGCTCCAGATTTGGACTCTCCCTGCTTTGTATTACTAAAGGACCTTGCAGGTACCTCTCATCTATTATAAATGTCTGCCTACAGGGCCTCCCTGGTGGCTCAAGGGTTAAGATGCAACCTATGAAGCTATCCGCAGCCACTGCAGCATGAGTTTGATTCCCGGCCAGCCAAGGAGCAACCCACCTGGCACAGCAGACCTCTCCTGACTCGCCCGCTGCTCCCCTCAGCAGTGTACTTTGGTTAGTCTGCCTGTTGTGTTCCCCACTCTCTCTCTGGTGAATTCTCTCACCGCCCCCCCAACCACCCCGCATCTCTGGCCTATACCCTAGCTCTTGTATGCATAAATAAATAAATATTTTTTAAAAATTTAAAAAATAAAAACACTTAATATTTAAAAAATAAATAAGTAAATTTCTGCCTACATATATAACTATCTTCCTGACTATGCTCTGGGGAAGGAACCTGATCTCATTCTTCTCCATATCAAAACTGTCTGGCACAAGAGAGGGAGTCAACAGATGTTTGTGGAAGGAATGGTGGCAAAGAGGGAGAGAGAGAGGGAGGGAAGGAGGAAGGAAAGAAAGAAAGAAGAGAAGAAAGAACAGGAAAACAAAGAGGAGATGACGGAGTAGGCACTCAATGATAAGGCCATTCTCTGAAGTGACTTCCCTGCATTTCTCCTTTGCTATTCCCCTGCCCTACAAAATGTCCTTGCTCCCACAGAAACCAGTCTCCATCACAATCACCACTTATCTTTGCAGAAATACTTCTGATGGAAAGAATGCACTTCTTATAATAATAGCCCAGTAAAGCATTTTCTTAAGTCAGGGGGGGATTTGAGTCAGAAAAACAGGAAATTCCAAATACCTGGGTAGAAGATCACAGCCTACTCCAATCTCTCTGGTTTCCACTTCAGTCTTGGGCTGGGTTTCTGTTAAGTAGTCCAACCTGCTCTGCAGTTCATTATTCTAGAGATGAGGGGAAAAATAATTTTAAGAAAGCAAATATGTTCTCCCATAAATATGCATAGTATAATTTATCTGATTTTCCCCAGTGCCATGGACAACAATCACAATGTGTTTATCAAGCATCTCTTGCACAGTAGGAATTAAAAAAAAATCATGGGTTGAATCCATAGAGAGAGCTTTCTATGGATGTAAATACATGTTTCGAATCTTACATAAAAAATAAGCAGAATTTCTTAACCTATACTACAATCTGCTTTTTCCACTGAACAATTTGTTGTGAATACCTTCCCACATTTATTAGTTTTTTTATGTCAACAAACTATTTTAATGTGTTCATAACATTCCATTGAATGGATGTACGTTATTTATTTAACTAGTCCCTTATTGATGGGTATTTACATATTTATCACTTTTTTTCAATTATAAATAAGGTACAGCTCAACTTTTAATACTCCCTCATTAAACTATAAAATGAGTAAGTCTGTTAACTTAATTTAGTGAGAAATACCTCTATAACTTAATAATTAGTATTTCATAGGTGTGGAAAATTCAGAATCTTAAACATATAAAGTAAAACAAGCTCCTTGGGATTAAAATTAGCATTCTAAATAGTTTTTTTTTTTCAGCCCAGAGCCAAACATTACATAGATTGATGATTATGATGCTCAGGAATTGGAAATTTGCCCCATGGGGGAAATGAAGGACAAAGGTGCAAGAGAGTTGAGGATATTGGAATGAAAAATAGATGAAGTGATGGTGCCTGGACTCTAAAGGACAAAAACACACAAAAATTTCAGACAGAGGTTAATGGCGGTTATCTCCATGTACTGAGATTTGGATGTTTTTTTAAAATTTTCTTCTAGTTTATTTATTTTTTTTGTAATGCTTGACTGAAGTTTTATGATGGAATGACCCTATCTATCTTCCTGGCTGTACCTTTGAAGCAAATCATGTAGGAGATATAAGATAATATCTATTGAATAAATAAATGTATAATTGCTTTTATAAGGAGCACATTATTTGTCTAACTCAAAAAAATTAAAGCATTTGTCTTTTAAGTTGGAGCTGCAGCTAAGACAGTATTCTAAGATACTAGATAACACATGAGAGTTGTCTATGGGAACAGAAGTTTATTTGTTTTGAAAGGAAGAATATGGGTTACAGCTCAGTAACTCTTGCTCTGAATGGGAGATACCAAGGAGCAAAGTAGCAGCTCCAGGACAAACTCATATTCTGCAGGACGTATAGGTCTATGGATCTCTTCTGATGAATGGGACATGGTGGAAAGGAAGAGAAAGCGCTCCAGAGTCCTTAACAGCTGACAAGTCATGGCAGAGCTATGGGTTCCCACTCTAACCTGATGCTCAGTATGGGAGACTGATGCTGGCTTACTGCCAGGACTACAGCAACATTCACTCACTCACACACAAAGAGAGTCTTAGAACATCCCCTGCACATGGATTGGAAGAATAAACATTATTAAAATGGCCATCCTACCAAAAGCAATATACAGATTCAATGCTATTCCAATCAAAATCTCAATGGCATTCTTCAAAGAAATAGAACAATTATTGATGAAATTCATATGGAATCACAAAAACCCCGAATAGCCAAAGCTCTCCTGAAAAAAAAAAGAAGGGAATGGAGGCATCACACTCCCAGACTTCAAACTATACTACAAAGCCATAATAATCAAAACTGCATGGTATTGGAACAAGAACAGACACACAGACCAATGGAATCGAATAGAAAATCCAGAAATAAACCCACAGATTTATGGTCAACTAATCTTTGACAAAGGAGCAAAGACTATGCATTGGAGCAAAGAAAGTTTGTTCAATAAATGGTGCTGGGAAAACTGGGCCGCTACATGCAAAAGAATGAAGCTTGACCACTACCTCACACCATACACGAAAATCAACTCAAAATGGATTAAAGAACTAGACATAAGACCTGAAACCATAAAATATATAGAAGGAAATATAGGCGAAATACTACGTGATTTGCACATCAAAGACATCTTTACAGACACATCACCCAAAGCAGTGATAGTGAAGGCAAAGATAAACAGCTGGGACTACATCAAATTAAAGAGCTTCTGCACAGCAAAAGAGACAATAACAAAACCAAAGAGAAACCCCACTGACTGGGAGAACATTTTTGCACCCAACACTAATGATAAAGGACTGATCACAAAAATCTGCAAAGAGCTGATGAGACTCAACAACAACAAAGAAAATAATCCGGTCCAAAAATGGGCAGAAGAGCTAAAAAGAAACTTCTCTGAAGAGGAAATGCAAATGGCCAACAGGCATATGAAAAAATGTTCAACATCACTTGTAATCTGGGAAATGCAAATCAAAACTACCATGAGATACCATCTTACACCAATGAGAATGGCACATATTAAAAAAACTAGCAACAACAAATGTTGGCGAGGGTGTGGAGAAAAAGGAACTCTTCTGCACTGTTGGTAGGAGTGCAAACTGGTCCAACCACTATGGAGAGGTGTGTGGAGATTTCTGGACCTACTAAACATAGAGCTTCCATATGATCCAGAAATTCCACTCCTAGGTATTTACCCAAAGGACATAGAAACATCAATTCCAAAGAGCACCTGCACCCCTATGTTTATAGCAGCACTGTTTACAATAGCTAAGCTTTGGAAACAACCCAAATGCCCAAAAATAGATGACTGGATCAAGAAGATGTGGTACATATACACCATGGAATATTACTCAGCATTCAAAAAAGATAAACACATGCAATTTGCAGCAACATGGATGGCGCTGGAAGGGATCATGCTCAGCGAAATAAGCCAAAAAGAAAAAGAAAAATACCGGACGGTCTCACTCATAGCAGGAATCTAGAAAACTTAAATAAGGGACCAGGAAAATGAATAACTATAAGAAAGTGAAAATCAGAATCAACAAAAAACTATGAAACAGAGACACTTTTGGGGGGTGGGGGGCGGGAGGGAGGGATTGGGATCAGAAAGGGGGGGTTGCAATTGTATGGGGAATATAAAAATAAAATTTATTATTTAAAAAAAAAAAAACAAAGAGAGTCTTAGAGAGAGAGAGAGACAGATTCTCTGACATAGTTGAACTCTCCCATTCATAAGGAAAGAGAAAGGCAGAAGAGGTCTGTCCTTTAATAAGTTCCAACAATCCCATCAATTTATCCTTTCTCAGTGTAAACTTTAACCTCAAATATTTCACAGGATGTGAACATTAAACACAGCAAATATGCCTTGGTTGGCACACAGTGAGGAGTGGTAGCCCCAAATCCTTTGTTCTATTTCATAGGAACTCTATGAGTAACTGATGTAAATACACATTGAAGCCCTGAAAGGAAAAGCAGATACTACTAAAAATTCAATGTAATTATTAAAAAGATTAGTTACTGGGCCTCCCTGGTGGCGCAGCGGTTGAGCGCTGGGTTGTGAGGCTGCCCGCAGCCTCTGTGGCACTGGTTCTATCCCCAGCCGACGAGGGTCCCACATGGTGTGCAGACCTCTCCTGCTGCGCCTGCTGCTCCCCTCAGCAGTGTACTTCATAAACTCTGCCTGTTCTGCTCTCCCCTCTGGCTCTGGTGAATTTTCTCACCCCCCTGCGCTTCTGACTGTACCCAGTGCTTGTATAAATAAATAAATAAATCTTAAAAAAAAAATTAGTTACTGCAACATATGAGGCAGTATGTAAAATTAAGTGAAGTTAAAGAAATAAAACATGATTTGCAGGGCCTCCCCGGTGGCGCAGCGGTTGAGCACTGGGTTGTGAAGCTGCCCGCAGCCTCTGCAGCGCCTGTTCGATCCCCGGCTGCTCCCCGGCCACTGGAGGAGGGTCCCACATGGCGTGCAGACCTCTCCTGCCGCCCGCTGCTCCCCTCAGCAGTGTACTTCGGTCCTTCTGCCTACTCTGCTCCCCGCTCTGGCTCTGGTGAATTCTCTCACCCTCCTGCGTTTCTGACTGTACCCAGTGCTTGTATAAATAAATAAATAAATTAAATAAATCTTAAAAAAAAAAAAAAATGATTTGCAATCCCTGCGGTGGTTAATCTTTTGAGGGTATAGACAGCTAAGAAGAAAATAACAAAACAAAGTAGTAAGCCCCATGCAGAGGGACCCACAGAATATTAAAGGGGAGTCAGAGAAAATGCCTAACACAAGATGGAGAGAAGAACTGAACTGTCCATGAAAATGTTCTGGAGTTAGGCAAGGGAAAGAGAGTAAGAAAAGTAAAAGCAACATTTTCAATATTCCAGGTTGAGAACAGGCACCACACTGCAGTATATAGGTAGAGTTAGTTGCAAAGGGCTACATGCATACACCATTACAACCCTTTACTCCTAAACTTAGAAAACCAAGGTCAACACTAAATTTTATTTCAATCACTTGGGCTGCTAAGCGAAAACTGTACTGGGAGAAAATAAAACTATAGGCAGGAAGATTAGTCAAGGTCATTGCAATTTTCTAGTTCAAAGTGAGAGCTGCACTTTAATATAGAGGAGTAAGCACTTAACAAACAGATCTTCCTGCAAATATAGCTATTAACTCTGGACAAAACACAAAAATCAATTACTGAGATGTCTGGACATTAAATGAGGACCACCAAATTTTAGAGGAGATGTAAAATGACTAATAAAATGGTAGACCTAAATCCAACCATATCAATAATAACTAAATGTCAATGGATTAAACGCTCAAAGTAAAAGACGAGACTACCAGCAAGGCCTAATAGAAACAACAAGCAAGGCCCAGCTAAATATTGTCTGTAAGAGATTCACTTTAAATACAAAGAAATGGGCCTTCCTGGTGGTGCAGCAGGTTGAGCGCCGCACTGTGAAGCTGTCTGCAGCCTCTGCAGCGTGGGTTTGATCCCGGCCTCCGGGGAGAAACCCACATGGCACGGCAGACCTCTCCTGTCTCTCCCACTGCTCCCCTGAGCAGTGTATTTCGTCAGTCTGCTTGTTCTGTTCCCCACTCTGTCTTTGGTGAA